TTTTTCTGTTACAAACTGACCCGGCCCCCATCAGAGAAGGGAAAAGTTATGTGGCCCTCACAGGAAAAAGTTTGGGGACCCCTGATGTAGAGCATCATGTAGAGCATCATGTAGAGCATCATGTAGAGCACCATGTAGAGCATCATGTAGAGCACCATGTAGAGCACCATGTAGAGCATCATGTAGAGCACCATGTAGAGCACCATGTAGAGCACCATGTAGAGCATCATGTAGAGCATCATGTAGAGCACCATGTAGAGCACCATGTAGAGCATCATGTAGAGCACCATGTAGAGCATCATGTAGAGCACCATGTAGAGCACCATGTAGAGCATCATGTAGAGCATCATGTAGAGCACCATGTAGAGCACCATGTGGAGCACCATGTAGAGCACCATGTAGAGCACCATGTAGAGCACCATGTAGAGCACCATGTAGAGCACCATGTAGAGCATCACGTAGAGCACCACGTAGAGCACCATGTAGAGCACCATGTAGAGCACCATGTAGAGCATCATGTAGAGCACCATGTAGAGCACCATGTAGAGCATCATGTAGAGCACCATGTAGAGCACCATGTAGAGCACCATGTAGAGCATTATGTAGAGCATCATGTAGAGCACCATGTAGAGCATCATGTAGAGCATCATGTAGAGCATCATGTAGAGCACCATGTAGAGCACCATGTAGAGCATCATGTAGAGCACCATGTAGAGCACCATGTATAGCATCATGTAGAGCACCATGTAGAGCATCATGTAGAGCACCATGTAGAGCACCATGTAGAGCACCATGTAGAGCACCATGTAGAGCACTATGTAGAGCACCATGTAGAGCACCATGTAGAGCATCATGTAGAGCACCATGTAGAGCACCATGTAAAGCACCATGTAGAGCACCATGTGGAGCACCATGTAGAGCATTATGTAGAGCATCATGTAGAGCATCATGTAGAGCACCATGTAGAGCACCATGTATAGCATCATGTAGAGCACCATGTAGAGCATCATGTAGAGCACCATGTAGAGCACCATGTAGAGCACTATGTAGAGCACCATGTAGAGCACCATGTAAAGCACCATGTAGAGCACCATGTAGAGCACCATGTAGAGCATCATGTAGAGCACCATGTAGAGCACCATGTAGAGCACTATGTAGAGCACCATGTAAAGCACCATGTAGAGCACCATGTAGAGCACTATGTAGAGCACCATGTAGAGCACCATGTAAAGCACCATGTAGAGCATCATGTAGAGCACCATGTAGAGCATCATGTAGAGCATCATGTAGAGCACCATGTAGAGCACCATGTAGAGCACCATGTAGAGCACCATGTAGAGCATCATGTAGAGCACCATGTAGAGCACCATGTAGAGCACCATGTAGAGCACCATGTAGAGGGGGGTGTTTTAATTGTGTGAGCGGGCAGTGGTTCATCATTCACACGGTGGCCTGAAGTGAAGGAGGAGAGGACGTTTCCCAGCAGGCCGGATCAGGTCAAAAGGATTAGCCGTGGCACCGGACATCCCCAAATGAACTGATCCTGCCGAACAATGCCACGCTGCTCCAAAGCCTCGGAGAAGAGCCGAGCAGCCGAGCAGCAACATTGGTTCTCTTGGAATTAGCTGTACAAAGAGATGCATATTTGAATAGATTGTGTGGATTTTACATGGGAATACAAATCAGTAATAATTGAACCACCTTTTTTGTCTGTGCGAATGTTTGCCTGTGAGAATGTTTGCACACTGCATGATTCCTTGCTGTGCTTCAGGACATGTTGACGTCCATCTGATTACATGCAAACAATGAGCAATGCAATGTCAGTGTTTAACAGTGAACATATGCGCTCCTGATTGCTGGGTGCAAAATTGAAAAGGTCACAATCTACAAAAAAAATGTTGAAATAAGAAAAAGAACTCCCTTTGTTGACATGAGTTGTTTAGTTCAGTTTAGTTCATAGTTGTTGCATGACTTGTTTTGCGAATGCTGAAAGGACTTCTCTGTGTTAATGTGCAGACATTTGATGGGGCCTCTATATATCGAACGTCATCCAGAGAATGATTACTAAGCCCGCTATATTCATGTTTAATATGATGTACTCTTAGTAAACACTACTGGTTCTAAATATAAATGACTTTCAGTTTCCAGAACAGAGTAGTATTGAGCTGGGATGGCATTATAATATAAAAACAAAGGTGTTGTGATGCCGTCAATTTAGTGTTTATGAAAGACTACTCTTATGCCCAATCCATTTGACAAACCCAGCATACATGGTTATAGTTCTCCTTCAGATGGAAAGGGTATGAGCCTTTACAGTCAGCCTTTCTAGGTTTATTTAAAACAGCAAAGTGAGTTGGGGTCCGGCCCCGCCACCCTCCACCACCTGAGAGAGATGGAGGTTCCCCCTCAGCTCCTCACCATGACCTACAGTACAGATAGATGGAGGTCAGAGGGTGAGATCTGACAACAGACCAGCAATGAGAGCTTCCTCAGTGCTCAGTTCCCAGCAGCCTTCACTTCCCCTCAGCCACAGGCCCTGCCCACCGTGCCCTTCACATGCCAGGGCGGGGGCGTCCAGAGACTTCAAGACACCCTGATGAGGTTTGGGTGGAGAAAGGCTGGGGTTGACTCTGTAAAAGAATCTAAATGAGGTGTGTGTGAATGCTTCGCTTCAGTGTGTGTGTGTTGGGCCGCTTCTGGAGTGGCTCATTTCCATGCATCACTGTGGATTCCTCAGATCTGATCCCAGCACAGTCAGGGCTTTATGGTTTGGTGTTTAAGACAAATCAGGGTCAAAGACATAATAATGTAAAATGTGCTTATAAGATATGTAACAAATGTGTTTTAAACGTGGCATCTTAACATGTTCAATTACATCGATGGCCGTTCCGTCCTCCACCCTTTCAGCTGGCTCTCTTTAAAGCAGGAGCAGAGCCATGAGTGAAGAGAAGCCCTGCTCATTAACCCTCGGCACCCCACAATGAATCCTGAGGCTCTTTGTGCCAAAGGGCTCCCCTAACGAGGGCTGTAAGGAGGGGGGGGGGGGGGTCTTGATATTAACCTCACAATCTGCTCAAGAAGCAAGTAAACATAATGAAACTAGTGCAATAAAGTCTGAAACTCCATATCATTGCATCAATTATTTATATTTGAGGTGTGCTAAAAAAAAGAGGACACAATTCCAACAAACTCATTTGTTCATATGTAATCTTGAAATCTCTGCGCTAAAATATTCGTACTATTTAAATGTCAAAGCATTCCACCTGGGATGTTCTGCTCAGTACAACACACTGAAAACACTGAAACGTTGACTTTAATTCAATATATTATGTCAACAAATTCCACAAAACTGTATTAGGTTAGTTGAAAAGCAATCATATTGTGTTTAAATAGGTTCAACTAAATTAGTATTGCTTTCAACTAACCTAATAGTTAAACTTAACAAAGTGCAGAACATTGAAATAAACATTTACCCTCTGACATTCTTATACCCAAAGACTTACATCATTTTTGTAGTTCATTCAATCAAATTGAAGACTGACTTACTCATAATGATGGAACTGCATGTGCTCAACATGTCCCTCTTCTGTTGGTCCGCAGCTGAGGGGTTCAGATTCAGGAGCCAACAGAAAGTTCTCCTTTTCCTTTTTCTTAACTTGATTGCATTGTGCGTTTGATTTGCATTGTAATTGTCATGCTAATAACACTGTGGAGGCCTTCACTGCTTTGTGTTAGTTATCTTGTATTTTCTTTAGATTCACACACATGTCATTAGCCTGCTCACATCCTCACCCGTTCGATGTCCTTATTATATAGGGCAGTAACCACTTAGGTGTTTTTGCATTGAGCCGTATGGTATCATCACATGTTGTGGGAACGTTGTCTGCCCCCCCCCCCCTTGTAAAGGAAAAAAGCTGCTAGTGCGGGGACGCTTTAATTGGAATTTCATGTGGACTAAACTGAGGGGAAACTGATGTAAATTAACATTTGGTAGACTTAATTGGTCTCTTTCTCTCCCTCCTCCTCGACCGGGCACTTACGGGCTGCTGGAGCTTCGCGCTAATCTCCCATTTACAATCAATTCAATCTGCAGACAAAAAGCCCGCCTCCGCTTTTCTTCTCTTTCTGTCTCAAAGCAGCTCCTTTGTGGCCCGTACATTGCCTGAGTCCCCGGTGATCCCGGTGGCGGACACAGAGAAAGATGTCCTCCTCATGTTGTTGACAGCCGATTAGCGCGCGCTCCCGCTCTCGCGTTCCCTCCGCGTGGGCGCGTCTTAATTAAAGATCCCGTTCAATTAACGTGTTTGGGGATATGAGGCGGTTGCTCAGATGTTGGAGAGGTAAAAAGGAAAAAAGTGCAGGGGAAAAGCACAACCTGCTGCCTTTAGCTTGTTTACTGCTGCTGAGCCCCCAGCCTGACTGCGTGCGTGTGTGTGTTTTCTATTTCTCACAACACGCATTGCTTTGAATACAATTCACAGTAAAGTAGTTCATATTGTTCAATTCGCGTCCCGTTGACAACACTGGCATATCAGTAGCATAAAGGTTGTTGTTATCAAAATGAGCACAGCCTCAAAGCTTTTACATTGTTTTAAATATTATTGTTAGATTGTGTTTCCATTATGTATTTCGTTTTCGGAATTCCGAACAGGGACATTTCTTTGTGTTCTTATAATTATTCTAACAATTTCACAATAATAAAATAATGATATAGTGATAAAGAAATAAATGTTTAGTTGCGGGAATTGATGTAAAAAAAATATTTCAAAGTTGCTGTTTAAGAAATAGGAAAATAGAGTTTATTTAAATTGTAAATGATGATGGAGGATACAACCAACGTGGTTTTACACTTTATCAACTTTGCCAAAAGCGAACAAATCCAGCAATAGCGAATTGCAGCTCATCCACCGCTTTGAGTTCACAAATGTTTTCAGCTTTTGTTAAGTTAGCCTACATTTATTTATTATTTGAATAACTTTCTGCTTCTGTTTTCCCTGCAGCCTCCCCGCCATATGTCCCAGCCGGCCTGGTGGAGCAGGTTCCAGCCTCCTGTGAGCCGGGCTCCATGTAGCAGGCCAGCCCGGCCCGGCGCTAATTGGCTGTTAATAGAAGGAGCGCCATGTGGGAGCACGGAGCCGCCTGAGTGCAGAATGTGTGCAGGGATAATATTGTTCCAGGAGCCGTGAGGAGAATAACTTGTGGCCTATTAACGCGGAGGCCCAGATGAGGGGCTGCGGCCTGAGTGCTCCATTATCTCCTGTTCTGATGAGCGGCTCCGGATGCGACAGTACCCGTCCCCCCTCCACCCCCCCCCCCTGCCCAATCAAGTCTCCCCAGACGTTTAGCTGTTGAATGTAATTCGCTTTCAAGGGCCCATGTTATCTCTGATCATTTGCGCCATTACGCCAGAGTCAAGTGTAAATGCTCCATTATTAAGATCGTGTCTGTCAATAACTGGTGAGGCAAAGTGGCTGCAGAACATATAGAGCCAGACTGAGTCTATATGTGGCTTTGCAACAACACTTCAAATTAAAACAGCCACCAAGTTTATCAGACGGATGCCTTCACAGATATGTGATGAATGCTTTAATAAGGGATAATAATTAGATGAATGGCGACTGTTTAATGTCTGGCTACACCACTGCATCGAAGACTGTACACTCATCCTCACTATAGTCCATGAAAATGGAAAACAAATAAAGCTATTTCTTATGTCCCTAATGCAGCATTGAGGATCAGCACATTTCTAAATAAAGGCTACCTGCATGCTTCAACATGTACGTCACTTAGAAGCTGAATGGATGTAATTGAATGTAATGTATGCTGTTAATGGTACTGTAAAACAAATTCTACGGAAAACGTTTATTTTAACAAGTGTCATTTTGAACGTGCCATCTGATCTGTCACGTCCTTATTCTGAGGTTTAAACAACCCCAACAAAATAAATGAGAAGAGGAAAAGGCTTTAAGATCAAATGTGTCCGAAATTTAAAAAATAATTTCACAAAAGTTCGAGGTTGAAGAAATGTTGCTGTATGTTATGTTATTTTACTGAAAATGTGTTGAATGTGTTCATGTCTTGCAGTCACCTTAATGCCACTTACAATGTTTCTGAACCTAGCCAATAAAAGCAACATCTCTCAAACATTCAGTTTTCATTATAAGTTATAACTTATTTATTCACATTAACATTTTTTCTGTGAAATACACAACATGGAAATTATTCACATTTTAAATAACATTTGTTTATTTCCATAACCTATTATTTACAGTTCCATCATGGAGACAGAGGGTTTCTCCCAAGCTTGTGACAGGAAGAAAATACTCTAATGTTCCTGGAGCCAGGTTCAAGTCGTGCGGCTCTGTGTTCCTGCAGGGTCGCCGTGGAAACACACACCCTGAATCCTGCAAGATTAGCAAAGTTCTTTTAAAGGGTCATATCCAATTTGATTGGACCACCCCACCTTCTCTCTGGACTTACAATGTTCAACATGGCCACAAATGCAGGACATGAAGCAGTCTGAGGCCTAACAGGTGGATATTGAAGTGAGTGGGGCTTCAGCGGGCCTCAGCTCTGCAGCTCTCTGGAGGCCTCTGAGGGGGGAGTGAACACGCTGTCGTGAAGCTTCCTGATGTGCTTCTTCAGGTCGAAGTTGCGGCAGAAGCCTTTCCCACAGGTGTTGCAGGTGAAGGGCTTCTTGTCGTTGTGCGTGTGCATGTGGAAGGTCAGGTTGTACACCTGGTGGAAGGCCTTGTTGCAGATGGAGCACTTGTACTGCTTCTCTCCACTGTGGGTCAGCTTGTGGTTCTTGTAGTTTCCTGGGAAATAAAATAAAGAATAATGAACATGAGAAACACAAGAAGAAGAATGTCTCTGAACTCAACAACAGCTGCAAGTCATGATTTTCACTACTGATTACGTAAGACTGATAATAGTCAAATCATCAGTTTTATGACCAACAATTAAAACATTATATTTCTTAGGGAATAAGAAGAAAATCCCTGATTGATTGAAGAAGTTAGAAGCAGCCGTTTGGTATTTTGATGGTTGGTCTGTGCAATAATATCCCATCAAACAGCTGCAGGGGAAGACGCCACATTCCATGACATGCATTTACATATTCTGTGTGAAGCCCAGATTTAACATTATTTTCTCTGCAGCATATTCCGACAAGCATGGGATAAAAAAGGAGGACAATAGCTAACCGTTTAATTTCTGAGAGATATGAAGGGATATAAGACCATTATGCATCATAAGAAGCCAGCTTTGTTTTCCTGGAAAGCATCTGGAATATTTACATTACATGTTACATGTTACTATTTACACATAACTTGCACGTACTTACTTACTTTTCTCTAAAATCAGGCAGTATTTATTACTTGATTCTGAAACAGAAATAAAGCTGCTCAATGTGTAAAGGGAGGGATCTCCACCATTGACAGATGTTTGAAATAACTAGGACAGAGAGATCACAAGCAGCAGGGGAAAGGGAGCCTGCTGTTTAGCACTTTGAATCCAATAAGAAAGTGAGGATGAGGAGGAGGCCTCTTCTCTCTTGTATTTCCCCCGCCAAGGTCAGCAGAGCATGCTGGAGTTGGAGCCTCTCTCCCCTCTGCTCTGCACAGCCTTCATTAATCACGGGTTTGTATGTCGAAGTCAAGAAGTTGTCAAACTTTGTCAAAATCAAGCGCAGCGACAAGTGCAGAAAACAGCCCGGCTCCACTGCGCGGGGTCTGGCAGCTGACCCAGAGCAAATGCTGCTTCTTGAACAGAGAATTAGTCCGTGTAAAGTGACATGTCCTATTTCCACTGATCGCATCAGGCTCATCGCTTGGCCTGCAATTATTTCCCCTCTCATTACCCTCACAGAGAGCCGAGCGCCAGCATATGCTGCTGCTTCACTCCGGATAATGTTTGTTTCTGCAGCAACAAATCTCAATTGAGGATTCCTTCACAGGAAACACCTGCCAACCAATCCTGTTCCCTCACGCATAATTAAATGCAGTGAAATTAATGCACAATACAACATTGTTTTAAATTATAACTACGGCTGTGCAATAACAATAAATACATATAACCGATAGCCTACATCATACAAATGCCACCAAACAACACATTTATAGGAATTATTTGAACACTTGGAGACAAAAAAAAGAAGGGACAGTGCAGGAAGTCCTGCTCTGTCTAATGCGTCTCCTTTCAAATGAATTCACCTGTTCACACTGACTGCAGGAATGTGTTATAGCAGAAATATAGGCCTACTCAACATGTGTAGCCTATCATACATCATCTCAAACCCGTAGATTATTTATATTCCTTTCCAGAATAAACAACAGACACGATGTTTGGCTTTGTTTACAACAAACACCCAATAACCACCGACTGAGTTTCTGAATATTTTTAAGGACCAACTCCAAGGACTAAAATAAACGAAGAGAAAAAAGAAAAAGAAAAGCTCGCCTGGAATAATAATAATGATTATATTTGACCTCATGTAGAGCATGTTAAGCTGCCATCAGTGTATGTTCTTACCTTTCTGATGGAAGCCTTTCCCGCAGAACTCACACACGAAGGGCTTGTAGCCCGCGTGGATCCGAACGTGCGTGTTGAGCGTGGAGCTCCTGTTGAACGCCTTCCCGCACTGGTTACATTTATGAGGCTTTTCCTGAACAGGCAGAAATTGAACATAACATCAGTTAGGACAAATACACCTACATATGTCATTTAATTAAAAAGCCAGAACACATGATGTGTGTGAGCTGCCTCTCACCTGTGTGTGTATGATCTTGTGTCTGCACAGCGTGCTGGCCTGCCGGAAGCCTTTGCCGCACACTTTGCACACGAAGGGCCGGGCCCCGGTGTGCACCGGCATGTGCCGGGTCAGGTTGTAGTGAGCGTTAAAAACCTGCAGACACACAAACAGTCAGGAACATTCCGAAATACACACACGTGTTTGCGTAAAATTATCATATTTAAATCTTCTGGATTTTGTATCTGCTGCTTTCGAAATAATATGTTTTATTTATTTTTTATGAGAACCGTTGTTTTAATGGAAAATATTGGTAGCATATTTTATATTTATATTATAATTATATCATTATGTTTTTGTCATCGAGATATTTATTAATACACTTTAAAAATATATATTTCACATAAGAAAGGTAAACAATAAATACATATGTCATAAATCCTTTTTATTATAAAATATAGACCTTCGATATATTTATTTTACACTTTTAAAACTGCGTACCTTTCCACACACTTCACATGTGAAGTTTTTGGGCTTCCCGTCCGCCGCGCTGCTCGCGCCGCTGCCCAGCTTGCTAAGGGGCTTCACCCCGTTCTTCTCCGCGCTCAGGCCGTGGTTCTCCTTCACTATCTGGTCCAGCTGCCCCGGCAGGTGCTCCTTGTGCGGGTACTGAGGGGTGGGCAGCTTTTCGGTCCCCGCCGCGGCCAGTTTGGCGTTCTCCAGCAGCAGCAGTCTGTGGTGCGCCGACAGAGAGGCCTGGGCCTGCGGGCTGGAGAACCAGTGTCCGGCCAGCAGCTCGGACTGCTGGTAAGCAGAGTCCAGGTAGTTGAGATAGTACAGCGAGCCGCCGCTGGGCACGGCCACTGCCTGGTGCAGGACCTGAGGTTTCACCACCCTGCTCCCTGTCAGCAGCGGCTGCTTCATGCCCAGCTCCGATTTGCCACACATGCCGCAATTCCCTTTGCACTGAACGGCTGCGGAACCGCAAAAAGTGCCCCTGAAACTGGCCCTCCACAGCTCCGAGTAGTTCATCAGCGCCTTGGCCTGCAGGTCGTAGCTGAAGGGCTGCAGCGGGATCATGCAGGGGATCGGGGAGCAGAACAGCTTCTTCCCCTCCGCGCGCTCCTCCGCGCTCCCCTTCGGCTCCGAGCTCTTGGACATGATCCGGTCTATGGAGAAGGCGAGACTCTTAGGGGCCACGGAGGGCCCGGTCCTTCCGCAGGACATCACCGTCTCCAGAGAAGCAGAACTCGCCATGTTGTAGTACTTTTTGTTTTGTTAGCAGCAGAGCCAAACTTGGTGAGAAAGTTCCGAAGAGTCCGAGCCGCTGCTCTCCGCCGCGCGTCTTCACTGCACTGAGCTCCCAGCAGAACAGACAGGAGGACACATCAGTTTAATAAGCACCTTGCTGTCACAGTGTCACGCATTAGCATTCAAATGGCCATCCCCCCCGCAACAATAGCATCCAGGGGTGATGGATTAATGCTCATTAACTAGGGCACACAAAATTAACAGGACATTACAGAGCTCGTTAGGGAGAAGAAGAGGGAGAGGAGCGAGAGAGACAAAGTGTTGTGGTCCGGAGAATGCGCAGTGTTAAGTACAGCCGGTGTGTGAGGTTACCTCTGATGGTCAGATGGGTGTGGAGGAGCTGCTCTCTGTCACATGTCGCAGCGCCGCCCCCCCCCCCCCCCCCCCCCCCCCCCCCCAGCGGGTCTGTCTCCTGACATCAGCCGGGGACAGGAGCCGCCCTCAGAAACACATCTGAAAACAGAGAATGATCCTGCGACGGAAATATGAAACAATTCCCCTAAACAACTTCAAATCACGATTGCGCTATGCTGGTTAAACACGCATTATAATCGTCTCCTGCTTTCATTTGCAACTCAGACATCTTTTTATTTTTCACTTGGGGACTCAGGAGAATGCTGCTAATCCTCGGAGATGGGATCCCTCCTTTTCCACGCCGGCTTATATACTTACTTACTATTTGTATAAATTCGAGGACGTCCAATTTCCACCTGTTTAAGAGCAGAGACTCCCTTTGGATCCTATTAAACGTTGTTCCTCCTTCCCTCTATTCAAAAGAAGCAATTTTCCAGAGCGATTCAAGGCTCAACCCAGCGCAGGGAGGAAAAAAAGAAAGACAAAACACAAGCTCTTTCACTGTTAGCCACTAAAGCACTGCGTGAACCTGGTTTTGTGTTTTTTTCCCTTCTTGAAATAGAGGGACGGATTAAAGAGGGAGAGAGGAACAAGAAAAGACTTAGCTGGAACAGAAAGGACAAATGAAAAGAGAGCTTTTTCTCTAAAGAGGCTACAAGACGTTTGCTGGAATCCACAGCTCTGTGTGGGAGTTACACCAGCAGCCGCCTCCAGGCCCTCATCCATTTTACCTGAGGGACCCCCACCAAGTTTCTTTTGGGGTTGGTGGGGGGGGAACTGGCAATATGAAGAAAAATAATATCTGTCCTGATGTGTGTTATTTAATTGAACAGTGGTGTAACATCATTTATTTACTGCATTTTGAGATAGTAGTACTTTCCTTGAGTATTTGAATTGTTTGCTACTTTGTATTTCTACCGCACTATAATTCAGAGGTGAATAGTATACTTAATAATAATAATAATAATAGTTCATTTATTTTATATAGGTCGCCATACAAACACATAAAAAACAAGATACACAATACATAACACCAGCATAAGAGACATCAACAAGACAATGCAGTTTATAAATCAATCAAATAACCAAATCAATAAAAACAGAGGATGTGTGATGGATAATGATCAGGGTGGATATGCGAGTGTGAAGAGATGTGTTTTGAGGCATGATTTGGGAGAGAGTTCCAGATGCTCCACATGTATTTATACCTTTTGTTACTTTGCAGATTGGGACTAATCTGAGATATAATCCACCTCCTGGTAACAACGAACTGCACCTTATTCAGCTGTGATAAACACATTCATATATCAATCATTATAATCAAAATATATAATATATATTATTAGAAAATCTGCATTATGACTACTTTTACTTTTGGTACTTTAAGTATATTTTTATGAGAATACTTTTCTACTTTTACTTGAGTAAGATTTTGAATGCAGGACTTTTATTGTAACATAGTATTCCTATACTCTGGTACTTCTACTTTGACTCAAGTACAATATCTTCTTCCACCTCTGTAGTTGAACTGGTAAAGGTTTTTTATTCAGAGTGTGTAATCATACCAAATTAAGTTGTTTTGCCCTCCAGTATTTCAGACATCTCGTGGTATCTCGATCATTTACATGTGATGTTTTCATCAGCAGACAGATCTAAATGCAGATCAGGCATATGTGAGGGTTTCACAACCAGCTGAACAGAACATATTGACAGTCTGTGATAAGGAAGGGCATCAATGATTCACAGTAAAGGACAACTGATGGCATATTAGTGGATATTAAAGCATGTACCTGTGTTTCAAAGATCAGTCATCAGCAATCAGGAAGAACTACTGTTGGGTTGCCAGGTTGTGAAAGGTCTCTCAGGCTTTACCCTCTTTTTAGAGAGCCCTGCATTCACCAGGAAGACCCATCTCTCCAATGGACCTTCTGGGAAAGTGTTGCAAAGCATCAAAATCCATCTGTTCTTAACATTTAAATTTAAAAATAAATATTCTGTGTTAATGTGTGAGCCCTGACAGGAGGCCTGATCAGGATAAACCCACACACAGGATTCACGGACGACCTTTATTCCAGATCTCTATTGATGAACGCATCATTATCAAAAAGGAAGGCTCAACAACACGTGTTTTTTCTAAAGTGTTAAACCCCCATTTTCCGTTTAAATTGTAAATATAAATACCGTTAAACCTAAATGAGATCTCCACCTGCTTATTTGAAAGTTATTTCTGATGCTGTCTCAAGCTTACTTCTGTCGAAATGACACCATCAGCTGCTTCGGTAACACAGCACGACACATTTAAAAGCATATGGCTTTTTGAACTATTAAACTGGTCCTGAAAAGAAGCCACCGATGATTTGATTGTGTCATTTGAGAAGTCTTTAATGATTTGGGAAACGGCTCACTGCACAAGTGTTCACGCTGCACGACATGGCAGTGCACTACAACAAGAATCACAATTGAGAGCACAAGTTATATAACACTTTTGACATTCCTTGAAACCATAGTTTTGTATATGTCCCATGCTTTATTTGATTTACCAACATGCAGCCTGACATACGTAGCTTGAAGTTGGCAAAACTCTTATAAAAATGCCTGTTCAGTTGAGTTTTAGAGATAAAGCCAGTGTTTGTTGAATTAAGCCACGATTCTGGAAGTTATTTTCCTATTTCATTTATTCCAAATATGTGTAAATTTTTTCCAGAGCACATAAACATTGTACAAGTGTTGTTTTTGTAAAAACTATAGAGAGATAGTGGAAAAAAGCAACATGTCTTTTGTTCTAAAAGTCAGGTTTAGGGATATCACACAGCACTTAAACCCAGCGCTGAACAACTGCACCATTTTGCTTCTACTTGTAATAACTGGTAATCCATGTTGCTGCAGGAGGAAGGTAATGATTTACCTCCAGCCCTATAGACTTAGTGCTAGACTTAGCCCAGCATGTTGTCGTCTTATAACACTAGTTTTCCTGTTAATAACCTTAAAAAACGTCCCTACTCTGTTTTGTGTTACACCTGCGGCTCAGCATGGAAGGATTAGCCTGTTGTCTTGGAGCCACTCATATGGAAATAGGGCAAACATACTCTAATTTGAGTTTATTCAGACCCAATTGCCGGCTCATCCACACAATAAACATTGATCCTAATGCTGTCAGCCTGGCCCCTCCATTCAGCTCTAACTGCAATTAGCTCAGGCATTGATTGAAGGGACTCTTGCTTCTTGCCTGCAGGCATTCAGGGTCACACACACTGGCTGAACGTGGCTAACCTGATTCCTCACAACGTTAGGAATTCCTTTTTTTCAAGCTTTTATGTTTTTATGAACAATAACACAATACATGTGTTACCTTACTGTTGGAACAGGAGTTTTCATTGATCGATCCACAGAGGGGACTTTCTTACACTTTCTTACAGTCCTCTCTTTTTTGTTTAGCTCTCTTTCAATTCTTAAACACTTTAGTCCGTTTCAGGCTTGCAGGAAAAGCCTAATCAGCAACACATGAAAGGGGTACCTACAGTATAAACATGTATGGTTTTAACCATGTAATGAAACCAAAGAAATGCAACCCTTTGAAGGGTTGCAACAAAGAAGATACAATTGTCTATTATAACAAATATTTCAGTTAACCTTAACAATAAATTCATTTGAAGTAATTCAACGTGTAACCCCACTCTATTCCCTACATGATGATGGTATTCTTTATTAAAACACTAAACTAAACCAGCTTCACAAAATGAATTCTCATCATAATGTCCAAATGACTTTCCGAATCCTTCAACCACATCTCTTGTTCCAACACCTTCTTACTGCTAATTCCTCAGTCGTCATGGAAATGTGTCATCATGTGACCTAAGTATGATATTTATGTCATGTGATGTTAACAGGTTGTGAAAGCGGTGAGGGATCAGAACCTCCTTTTCTGTTACAGTTTTCTGCAAGATCTTATTGTGTTGCTGCTATGACACCTGCATTTCTGGGATCAGTAAAGGTCCATCTTATTACATGCATTTTGTTTACCATGTCTGCAGTGCACACATTAGTGAATGCAGACCAGACCAGTTGTGACATTGAAACAATGTATCATCCTTGCGTATCCCTGTATTCTCTCCCTCCTGCTCTCCTCAGACATGCACACTCTGAGCTCTCTCTATCTATCAACGTAAGAGGAGGATCTTATGTGTATGGGTTAACAAGTAGACAGCACTGACAACTCAACGGTTTGATGTAGAATTATTCACACATTGCATCTTCTAAATAACTTAGCTTTAGTCAACAGCGCCTGTCATTTTAGAAATGTCTTCATCGTCAGAATAACATTGATATTAAAGTACTTTTGGGCTTAGTGTGTTTTCACTGTATTCTAGGCATCAAGGACCAACATGAAAGAGCTTATGTCATCCTGGACTTTAAAGTTGTTAGCTGTGATGTAATAATATTTAAACTAAATAAATGTACATTTGTTAAGTGGTTCTCTTTCCTATAAAATATGCAGATATCATATTTAAATATATCATTGATTTATCTTCAAACTGGCTTAGCTCTCCGCAGCCTGCCAGCATGTTTGGATGCACACCTCTGTCCCCTGTGTCACATAGAGAACATCAATCATATATTTCTCAATAAGTACAGGCTTCCATGTCAACCTGCTGCTGATGACATAACATGCTGATAATGTGCCCAACTGTAGCCTCACACATCTCAGCACAGGAAATCACAGACAGTTGTCCTCACACTTTCCAGCCGTGGTGACAACTTTCACTGACGTTAAACCTGAGGAAATGAGACGGGAACGTGTGAGCAGGGAAAGTGCTCATTTCATCTCACCACATATTCAACTTCACTTAAACACTTTCTGAGGGAGATTGTAAAAACAATTGTGAGGGTAGATGTTACTGTATGAGCTCCGTATCCAAAACACCCTCGTGTCCTTCTCAGTTTCATT